TTTTTTTTTTTTTTTTTTTGGAGAGATTTTTGCTATAGGGTGCATGTGCTTGCCAGAGAGAAAGCAAGAAATCACCCTATGGGGGGATGGCCATGCCATAATCCTTTCTTCTCCATTCTCTTCTCGGGATCTTGGGCATGCACGCACATGTGCCTGGTGTGAGTTTTAAGCTGCTGAGACAGGGACTAGAACCACAGCCGACTACGTGGGAATCCAGTGACGTAGCCATTACACCATCTGCTGGTCCCAACGAATTTCTGCTTGCTTTAAAATGGCCTTCTATGAACACTCATAGAAACCTTCCGTCATCCTGACAGACTTCATTTAAAAATGGAGTATACCAGCCTGGTGTGGACAGTGCTGGGAGGCAGGAGAGCGGGCACGTGGAAGTACACGGGGGCCACCAGGGCAGAGTTCAAAGCATCCTGGCTTCTGGTCTACTGATCTCGGCAACAGAATGTACTCCGCTAAACACCACGGAGGAGAATGAAATACTGAGCTAATAATTAACGAAGACCTATTACGGCTGACGAAGAGCATACGAGCACAGTCACGGAATAAGAAAACAGCTACTGCTGGTCACTTTTTCATTTTTCCTTTCGATACCACTTCTGCGTAAGAGGTGTGAATGAAGTCGTAAAGCAGCTTAGCATTGGCAGAATTCCCCAGGATACTCGTGAGCTTGTCTTGTGACAGTGTTGCTAATTCTGCGATGTTCTTGACATGGGTCATCAAGGAGCGACAGTTTTTGGCATTCACTCCTGGCATTTTTAACAAGAAGTCTTGGGGGCCAGGATTATACTTTTCTGACTCGGGGAGGGTTTCGGAATCTGCTGTAATGGCCATGGCGGTCGCTGCATCGGGCTGCGGCTTATTTTGTTTCAGCTCTTCAAACAATTCCGCTGTTGCATGAGGGGAGGGGCACCAGAGAATCCGGAGCCGGGGGAAGTGGAGTGTGAGAAGAGTGAGTTTGGAGCTAATGTCATTGCTGGAGATCTCCTGATATAAGGCACCTCGGGAAGTGAGGGAGAAGGGCTTGCTGGGGTCAAACTCGATCAGGAGCACAGGTCGCTTGTAGTAGCGGGACATGGAGATGCACTGGCTGTAGAGGCGGCCGTTGTTTAAGGAGCCGATCAAATCGCTGATGCTCTTGCGTTCCACGCACATTTCTGGAGTCAGGATGTAATCTCCAACCTCCAAGGTCACGGGCTCAATGTCAATGCCGCGACGATGGATCAGAGAGGGAAGCTCGCTTCGAAATTCACGCATATCCACGATTATGCTCTGCTGTGTGCCGTTCTGTTCCTGGCCACCTACAAAAAAATGTAACGTTTCAGTAACGTTACCAGGGAAAAATGCTCAAAAACAGACTATAACTGAGTTTAAGAATCTGTGTTTCTGTTGTTAAGCTCTGATGGCTGGTAATGTCATACTAGGTGTTATTATTCCACACTTCTCTGTAATTTCAAAAAGATTTGTCCATAGAGAAAGCAGAGGCAATGTCCTCAAGCTAAACAGAGCTAAGGAGAAGTCAGAATCTACTGGTAGTTCCTTACAATGATCCATGATACAAACTGATTTGCTGTGGTCTTCCCTCTGCAGGTCCCTTAATGGTTCCCTCTTGTTGCACTGACCACACTTTGCTGGTTACTGTATCAATTCCTAGGATGCAGCCTGATCCACAGAGGAGGTTTAAAAATGCTGAGTACAGAGCTTCTACCAATGAGTCCAGAGATGGGAGAGTGGAAGAAATTGGGAAAAACAATGCCTGAGGCTAGCAGGTGGCATGGAGGTTAAGGAACTAAATCCCGTATTCCTGACTCTGTGGTTTGAGTCTCAGACGTGGTGGCTTGAAATTTACGCCAGTCACCTATGTATGTGTGTCCTAGATCCTAAGAGGAAAATGGAGGAGAAGGGTATAGCCAAGCTCTTGGGGGTGGGGGTGCGGTAAGTTCTCATTTTCCCTCTCTCTCATCACTCCTTGGTGAGTGCACATGTGCTATAGCAAACACTAAGAATATAAATGAAAAAAAAAAAAAAAAGAAAGAACAAAATAACCCTGAGAACAGAGTATCTCAAACTATAATGTGTACACAAACACTTGGGGCCAGGTTAAAAAGCAGATATTCTGCATTCAGTAGGTCTGAGATCTAAGGGGTCTAAGACGGCATTTCTAACAAGACCCCAGGTGATGCTAATGCTGTTGATTTATACATTTCTTTTTAGAATTATTTAATTTAATTTATTATTATTATATTGGGTTGCTGGGAAAGTCATGACGTATTTTTACACAGAAAAACAGAAAAATACGTCATGACTTTCCTAACAACCTAATATTATTTCTTAATTTGCTATAGAGAATGTACACTCATCAGAGAGAGACAGAGAAAAGAGGGGGGAGAGAGAGAAAGTGAGAAAGTAAGCCATCAGGTCTGGGACTTGAACTACAGCTGGCCATGCGGGAGGTTCAGCACATCAACCACCGTGACACCTGCTGGTTCCAATGCTGTTGGTTTAAGGACTGCACTTTTAAGTAGCAAGGACTGACGTGGGTGAAATAATGACCACCTAAAGATGTCCCTGTGAAAATGCTACGTGACATGGTAAGAAGGACTGTGCAAATGTGATTAAGTCAAGCATTTTGAGATTGAGAGATTATAGTGGATTATTTGGGTAGGCCTAAGGGTCTTTGGAAGTAACGAGGAGGGAGGGACTAGAGAAGAGAAAAGATGCTAAATCACTGTGTTGGAAGATTAGGAAGGGGCCATGAGCTAAGGAATGCAGGTGGCCTCTAGTGGCTGGAAAAAGCAGGAGAATGGAAGTCTTCCCTGGACCCTCCATGAGGACACAGTCATGCCAGCGAGGCCCATGTGGACTTCTGACCTGCACAGCTGTAAGATAACAGATGTGTGATGTTGTGAGCTGCCAAGCTAGTGGTAATTTGTTGTAGGAGTGACAGGAAAATAACATGAGGATTAAAGGACTGAATTCAAAGGGCAGACATCAATGAATAGCTTTCCGTGTGTTCAGTCCTCTTCCTTCATATTGCCTAATATTCTGCAGTTCTTCATGAAATATCTCCAACCTAGCTGAGCTAATAACAATCTTTTCTGAATAAGACATAGATGCTCTGAGGCACCGTTTCCCAAAGTATGTTCAAAGACCACCTCCATCAGAAGCCCTTGGGATGCTAAGCTCATTCCCGATCCACTAACAGAATTATCATGGATTGAAGCCTGTGAATCTGAAGTTTTGACAAGCATCTGAGCATACCAAGTTACTAAATTCTGAGACCCACTGCTCTAACATACTTGACCTCACCAAAGGTTAAACCAATTTGGTCATATTGCTTTTCTCATGCCACTTGGCTGACGTCAGCTGCTGCTGTGAGAAAATGGGAATTTGGGGAGGGGGAAATGGTTATTTCTACATCCGGACACACTTGGAATTCAGTGGGTCCCAGTGGCATACCCCAGTTCTACTGTACAGCAATAGTGTCAGACACCTGGGATCTGGAGAGGTTCCAAGAAGTAGCAAACAAAGACAGAAAGGGAGTAGGAATGTGCACCGCCCTGTGTACACTCCCAGGGAAGAGGCAGGAGAAGGAAAGAGAAGCTTCTTTCAGCTGCTCTGAGTCAGCTTCTTTGGGTTAAAGATAAGAACCTACTCGCCACTCATCAGATTTCCTTTGCGAAAGTATATTCTGAGTCTCAAACAACCAAGTTTATAAGTACTAACATAACTCGTTCTGAGCTGGGATGCCTAGAACTCAACCCCACTTATTTTACAGATGATACAACACCCGTGCTCCTGGGAGGTTACGCGGCTAGTAAACAGCACAGCTAAGGCTGGAGTATGAGAGCAGACAATCCTCTCCCTGGGCCAGTCCCCGTTTTTAAGTTGGTTGAGAAAAACTGAGCCTCTGCAGAGTAACTCTGGAACACTGTAGGCTCCTTTACAGGCAACAGGGATGCTGGCAAAGGGCAAAGGCAAAGGGGAAGACTCACCAGCTTTGCGGGTGTCGGTGGGAACATTCGTAGTTGCTGTGCCTCTTACCAAGTCGAGGTTTGTTTCATCTCTACCTTCTCTTTCTTCGGGAACAACCATGGTAGCCTTTTCCCTAGGAGAGAAAACACTTCAAATGTTCAAAACATTCATTTCAAAATGCTAGGTTTTAGCACTTTGTAAATTCTCATGCTGAAAACGATCCAGGTACCGAGACGGCAAAAGAGGATAGAACATAAAAAGTGGACTAGCAGCGGGTATGCAGAGAGGGGCTGGACAGAGTAAAATGTGACACTTGGAGGCTGACCCACATGGGACAGGCTGCAGTTCACACCTAGACCACCCTGAGCACACTGGGCACGTGTGTGCCCGTGACCCAGGCTGGACAAAGCTGTGGGGTTGGACTGTGCTACCGGCACCCTGCTGGGGTGCTGTGTTGTTCTCTGTCTCTCACGGAATAAACAAGCAAACTTCAAAAAAGAAGTATACGAAGATAAGTGATAAGTAAAGGAAACAGAAAAAACGTCTTGGTTGGGTACTATTTCCCGATCCTCTGGAGTCAAGAAAAGCAGTTGCTTAATTTTTTATTCCATCTTCAAATACTTTAAGACATGAAATAAGCATGTAAAAAATCCCACGGTGAGATTACTGAGACTGTAAAACTAACGTGTTATTGAGTATTAACAAATAATTTAAATTATTGATATTAAAATATCTTCAAGATATCATAAAAAAGGATGGTTAAAAGTCAATGATTAGAGGCCAGCAGGAGGCATAGTAGTTAAGGCACTGGACTCTCACATGACTGACTGGTTCGAGTCCTGGACTCAGCAGCCTGAAACTCACACCAGGCACATGTGTATATGCATGCCCAAAATCCCAAGAGGAGAATGGAGGAGAAGGGATTGTGGCACGCCACCCGGGGGGTGATTTCTTGTTTTCTGTTTCTCTGTCTCTCTGGGGAGTGCACATACTCTATAGCAAAAATCTCTCAAAAAAAAAAAATTAAGAAAATGAAAATGCTTATGTGATAGAACTTTGATTTAAGAAACTCCAGATGGGAAGTCCCATTAAACACTTCCAATTTTAAAGGAAAGTCAAGGTTAATAGAAGAAACCAAATATCTATCTGAGATTAAAACAAACAAACAAAACCCAACATTTCAGATTATGCCTCTGGAACAGTATTCATTATTCATTCATGCATTTATTTAAAAATGTTTATGGAGTGCTCCAGCATGCTGGGACAGGTACTCTGAACATAAACGTGACCACTTGATAGTACCTGTCTTCAAGGTAGCTCAGTGTTCTATGCCTTGTAGATCTAGAAAATCATATTATGACTAAGATTTGCAGTTCAGCATTTCATCATGACAAGACCCTCAATAACTACAGGAGGAATAAGCCAGGTTTGCTGTAGTCTTTATTTTCCAAAACCTCTAAAGTATGGCACAATTAATTCATGAAGCAGCAAATGCTATGAGTCTGATCTGTGACAGATATGACAGACAGTAAAGACGTATGAGCTGGGTCTCTTCCCTCTGGGGGCTTGCACCTACATCAAGGAAACAGCAACCATGAAAAAACAAAACAAAACAAAACAAAACAAAAAAAAACAAGGGACCAGCAGTTAGCCTAACAGCTATGCCGGCTACGTGACATGGTAAGAAGGACTGTGCAAATGTGATTAAGTCAAGCATTTTGAGATTGAGAGATTATAGTGGATTATTTGGGTAGGCCTAAGGGTCTTTGGAAGTAACGAGGAGGGAGGGACTAGAGAAGAGAAAAGATGCTAAATCACTGTGTTGGAAGATTAGGAAGGGGCCATGAGCTAAGGAATGCAGGTGGCCTCTAGTGGCTGGAAAAAGCAGGAGAATGGAAGTCTTCCCTGGACCCTCCATGAGGACACAGTCATGCCAGCGAGGCCCATGTGGACTTCTGACCTGCACAGCTGTAAGATAACAGATGTGTGATGTTGTGAGCTGCCAAGCTAGTGGTAATTTGTTGTAGGAGTGACAGGAAAATAACATGAGGATTAAAGGACTGAATTCAAAGGGCAGACATCAATGAATAGCTTTCCGTGTGTTCAGTCCTCTTCCTTCATATTGCCTAATATTCTGCAGTTCTTCATGAAATATCTCCAACCTAGCTGAGCTAATAACAATCTTTTCTGAATAAGACATAGATGCTCTGAGGCACCGTTTCCCAAAGTATGTTCAAAGACCACCTCCATCAGAAGCCCTTGGGATGCTAAGCTCATTCCCGATCCACTAACAGAATTATCATGGATTGAAGCCTGTGAATCTGAAGTTTTGACAAGCATCTGAGCATACCAAGTTACTAAATTCTGAGACCCACTGCTCTAACATACTTGACCTCACCAAAGGTTAAACCAATTTGGTCATATTGCTTTTCTCATGCCACTTGGCTGACGTCAGCTGCTGCTGTGAGAAAATGGGAATTTGGGGAGGGGGAAATGGTTATTTCTACATCCGGACACACTTGGAATTCAGTGGGTCCCAGTGGCATACCCCAGTTCTACTGTACAGCAATAGTGTCAGACACCTGGGATCTGGAGAGGTTCCAAGAAGTAGCAAACAAAGACAGAAAGGGAGTAGGAATGTGCACCGCCCTGTGTACACTCCCAGGGAAGAGGCAGGAGAAGGAAAGAGAAGCTTCTTTCAGCTGCTCTGAGTCAGCTTCTTTGGGTTAAAGATAAGAACCTACTCGCCACTCATCAGATTTCCTTTGCGAAAGTATATTCTGAGTCTCAAACAACCAAGTTTATAAGTACTAACATAACTCGTTCTGAGCTGGGATGCCTAGAACTCAACCCCACTTATTTTACAGATGATACAACACCCGTGCTCCTGGGAGGTTACGCGGCTAGTAAACAGCACAGCTAAGGCTGGAGTATGAGAGCAGACAATCCTCTCCCTGGGCCAGTCCCCGTTTTTAAGTTGGTTGAGAAAAACTGAGCCTCTGCAGAGTAACTCTGGAACACTGTAGGCTCCTTTACAGGCAACAGGGATGCTGGCAAAGGGCAAAGGCAAAGGGGAAGACTCACCAGCTTTGCGGGTGTCGGTGGGAACATTCGTAGTTGCTGTGCCTCTTACCAAGTCGAGGTTTGTTTCATCTCTACCTTCTCTTTCTTCGGGAACAACCATGGTAGCCTTTTCCCTAGGAGAGAAAACACTTCAAATGTTCAAAACATTCATTTCAAAATGCTAGGTTTTAGCACTTTGTAAATTCTCATGCTGAAAACGATCCAGGTACCGAGACGGCAAAAGAGGATAGAACATAAAAAGTGGACTAGCAGCGGGTATGCAGAGAGGGGCTGGACAGAGTAAAATGTGACACTTGGAGGCTGACCCACATGGGACAGGCTGCAGTTCACACCTAGACCACCCTGAGCACACTGGGCACGTGTGTGCCCGTGACCCAGGCTGGACAAAGCTGTGGGGTTGGACTGTGCTACCGGCACCCTGCTGGGGTGCTGTGTTGTTCTCTGTCTCTCACGGAATAAACAAGCAAACTTCAAAAAAGAAGTATACGAAGATAAGTGATAAGTAAAGGAAACAGAAAAAACGTCTTGGTTGGGTACTATTTCCCGATCCTCTGGAGTCAAGAAAAGCAGTTGCTTAATTTTTTATTCCATCTTCAAATACTTTAAGACATGAAATAAGCATGTAAAAAATCCCACGGTGAGATTACTGAGACTGTAAAACTAACGTGTTATTGAGTATTAACAAATAATTTAAATTATTGATATTAAAATATCTTCAAGATATCATAAAAAAGGATGGTTAAAAGTCAATGATTAGAGGCCAGCAGGAGGCATAGTAGTTAAGGCACTGGACTCTCACATGACTGACTGGTTCGAGTCCTGGACTCAGCAGCCTGAAACTCACACCAGGCACATGTGTATATGCATGCCCAAAATCCCAAGAGGAGAATGGAGGAGAAGGGATTGTGGCACGCCACCCGGGGGGTGATTTCTTGTTTTCTGTTTCTCTGTCTCTCTGGGGAGTGCACATACTCTATAGCAAAAATCTCTCAAAAAAAAAAAATTAAGAAAATGAAAATGCTTATGTGATAGAACTTTGATTTAAGAAACTCCAGATGGGAAGTCCCATTAAACACTTCCAATTTTAAAGGAAAGTCAAGGTTAATAGAAGAAACCAAATATCTATCTGAGATTAAAACAAACAAACAAAACCCAACATTTCAGATTATGCCTCTGGAACAGTATTCATTATTCATTCATGCATTTATTTAAAAATGTTTATGGAGTGCTCCAGCATGCTGGGACAGGTACTCTGAACATAAACGTGACCACTTGATAGTACCTGTCTTCAAGGTAGCTCAGTGTTCTATGCCTTGTAGATCTAGAAAATCATATTATGACTAAGATTTGCAGTTCAGCATTTCATCATGACAAGACCCTCAATAACTACAGGAGGAATAAGCCAGGTTTGCTGTAGTCTTTATTTTCCAAAACCTCTAAAGTATGGCACAATTAATTCATGAAGCAGCAAATGCTATGAGTCTGATCTGTGACAGATATGACAGACAGTAAAGACGTATGAGCTGGGTCTCTTCCCTCTGGGGGCTTGCACCTACATCAAGGAAACAGCAACCATGAAAAAACAAAACAAAAAACAAAACAAAACAAAACAAAACAAAACAAAACAAGGGACCAGCAGTTAGCCTAACAGCTATGCCGCTGGACTCTCATGTGGTTAACTGCGGTTCAAGTCCTGAACCTGGTGGCTTAAACTCACACCGGGCGCATGTGCGTGCATGCCCAAGATCCTGAGAGGAGAATGGAGGAGAAGGGACTGCAGTGTGGCCATCTCCACCTCGGGGAGTGATTTCTCGCTTTCTGTCTCTCTCTGTCTGTCTAGCGAGCGCATGCACCCTATAGCAAAAACCTCTCCAAGAAAAAAGAAAAACAAAAAACACCCACAAAAAACCCATGGAACTGAGGAACTGCAACACAAGAGACCAGGGCGAAATGAGTCAGAAGGGAACTGTCAATGCAAACTCATTTCAACAAAGGGTAAAATGACCAGTTTTCTGATTAAGGGAATGAAATCGGTTGAACCAATACTTCAAACACTCTGGATAAATGATGTTTCAGAGCAGGAGCCACTAACAGATCCACTGAAGAACAGAAAAGCTAATGTTAAATTCTACGCCAGCTGCAACAATCTACAAGATAGAGTTGTCATCTGTACGTTCGTAAATAGGGCACCAGGGGGCAGACGACACTTCGGTGTTCCATTTTCCCTCCTGTTCTCAATACCATGTCAAGTGCTACCC